TTTTATTTTGAAACATGATAAATGGGATCATGCATTCATGTATCCCATGTAAAATCACCTCCTGACCATCTTGGGGGAAGGGTTGGCTGGAAGATTACCTTGCTGTACCATTTTTTTGTTTTTTAGAAGTGCTTATTGTGCCAGCACCACCCCCCACCCTACCCATGATTTCAAATTGTCACTTTCTTTACTCCCAAGAACCCAAATTTACATTAATATCCATCTACACTAGCATGCATCTGACCATGCATCTTTCATCATCATCATTCATTCTTCTTTCCACTGACTGAGTACAGATTCTACTATTGATCTGACCTATATCCATCCCATCCCAAATCTACCTTTACATAACATCCAACTGCAGCTCAACAGTTATACACATTTATCAATTAATTAATTGCCTGATTTTGTCTGATTGCTACACATACAGGATACTATGAGTGACTACTTTTATGCACCAAATATAGATGAAAGGGGAACTTTATTTAATGTGAAGAGCCTGTTTGGTCATCGACAGGTAAAGAAGAATGTCATGGATTGTGTAAACCACGTAACTGATTTCCTTGACTTTTATACAGAGGGGATGGTATGTTTGTTGGCTTTGAAATTTCTAAATATAAAGTCACTGGATGAAATTCCTAATGATCATCCTAAGGACCCCAACAGAGAGATGAAGAAAACATACATAGATAAAATAGCATCAGATGTTGTCCTTCATATATGGCCACATGTGAGCAAAGATGACATATCAGAGGTGATAGGTGATGGTGATGATGTGACAGTAGAAGATGAGGATGAAGAAGATTATTGTATTTGTAATGGAGAAGGTGAGTACATTATGTAATTGTACACTCAACAGCAGAATGTTAAGTTTGGTGGCCAAACTCATCAACTTAATTTATTAACAGTATATTCACTCATATTTAGAAGTTAGAAGTGTCATATGATGTTATGTGATACAGCATATACCAGTATAAACAATTCCAGCCAGGTACGGTAGTCCGTAATTTGTACAGTTTTTCTGCAGGTACCTTGCAATATTCCATGTTAAACACATAGCTTTTATTTATTGCAAATTATTTATGCATTGTCCTGGATAAAAGTTATGATCAAAACAAGTTAAATAAATGATTTGTCTTTTTAAGGAGGGCTGAATGGTAACTGGATAGAATGTTCAGCAGGTACAAATTGTAGTGGCAAACACTGGTATCACTTTGAATGCATGGGAGTGGATGAGCAGGATGCCAAACAAGATTGGTGGTGTGATGATAATTGTAAGCAGTGGTCAATATTCTGCTGTAAAAGAAATGTAGAAGATACGTGGATTGGTTGTGAGAATGGAGCCATGTGTCAAAATGGAGAATGGTTCCATCTACAATGTAGAGGTTTAACTGAACTGCCAGGTAATAATTACAACAAACTTTTAGGGAAAAATATTAACCCAGTTTTCAATATTAGCCTTCAATTTGTTAACATGTTTGAGGAATTACATCTATTTACAACATATTCTACCAAAATAGAATAGGACTAGGCAATTGACAATAGCTAGTTGTTCATTACAGATGAAGCCTGGTATTGCTGCGCTGAATGTGAACAGGTCCATGATCCAAATGTTGATTCAATAAATGAATACAGTAGTGCTGTCACGTGGCGTGGTTTATACCACATGGTCAACAAAGATTGTGAAAGGGAAAATGATGGTGATGGAATGCTTAGTAACTGGAAAATCAACATGTTAGATTTTTGGAAACAAAACCACAACAAGTACTTGATACTTGGTCACAGATTGATATCTTGTAAGTAGATGGGTGGGTGGTGCGAGTACCTCAGCAGGTATTTTTTTTGCTCGGGTTGTTTCATGCAGAAATTATATTTCAAAAAATTTCTTTGCATCAGTTGTTTTCTCTATTCTCCTGCCAAAGACCCCCCCCCCCCTGAGTATGTAATGATCTACCCCTAAATTGCTTTTTGCAGTGGTCATATTTACTGGGAAATTATGGACCAATGAATTATAACCTCATACCAGTTTTAACTTTTGACCATTGCTAGCTGATAAAACTTAAAACTTTAAGAATGTAAACTAATATTTTACAGGTGCTTCAGGGTTTGTAACCAAACGTGTAGCTGCAGATATGATCTGGAACAGCACGGCAAATATGGTAGGAGGGAAAGGGCACAACCTTGCACTGGACCTCATCAACGAATTCTTAAATAATGAATTCAAAAGTAAGCAAAAGTAATCTTGCATTGTATATCATTCATTACAATTTATTTGAATTACAACTGCATGGATGTTCATACAGATACTCTGTAGATCTGCTCCCAAAGTTTCCAATGGTCTACCCTAATGCAGTCAAACCTACATTTGTGTACCTTGAGTATTACTCATGGGTATTCCACTCAAGCTGTTTTGCAAGTTGCATGATGCCTAAAATTGTATCTATAATCCTTTATATTGTCATACATGAGAATATAATATTTATTGCTACGATAAAGAAAAATGTTTTCTTATTACAAAATATTAATGGAAACCTAGCTGATATGGAATAGAAAAGTTTCTTAAATTAAAAATATTAATTTCTCCATGTTTCCTTTTGCCTAATCCCATGTTCTCAAACCTCAGGCTAGCATGATAATACAATAACCAAACTAATTTATTTCATCTTCTTTCATACAATTTAGAGAATCTTAAAAACAGCCATGGGCAGTACACAGATCTACAAATTGCTAGATGCAGCCAAATTGTTGGAAATGTTGGAAAGGACCTTGATAAGATCTTTGCTGCAGATATTATTGACAAGTTTGCAAATACATCAAAGACATCAAAAGGATCCTATAAGAAGGACATAGACAAATTTGTTAAGGAATACAAGGCAGATCATTTATTTGATAAAGTTGGGCAAAGATATCATACTGGATTCAAAGGATTAAGGCATGAGATCCTAATAAAAAAACCAACCAAATTAAAGGCTCGACTGCAAAAGTACTCCCATATATTGGACACACACAGGCGTATATGTGAAACACAGCCATAAGTCGAACATCCCCATACTTGGCAAGTTTGTTTATTATTCATGACAAAATATTGAATCCTCTATTATTGGTGAATATTTTTGTGATTCTTGGTCGAAAATTTATTATTTTTTTATGAACTATATGTTTCATTGCTTTGAAAATTGGCAAAATTTGTAATCCAATGACATCATATGCAAGGGTCTATTTTTAGTGAATTTGTTGGTGTATTTTACTCATTTTTACATATTTTTAATTCTTCTATGAAACCTTCAGCCAGATTGCTTTGAGATTCAGACACATGATATGAAAAGGTCCTCTCTCTCAAAGATATCTTTTTGTGCAAGTTATTTTTTTTGACTTATTTATTTTCCCATACATTATAGAACATTGTACGTACCTTTTGAATGTACATTGTCTTGAAAACTTAACTGCATGGGCCTATACGTTTTCCAAAAATGTTCAAGTTCGAGTCGAGATTTACAAAGATCCCCCCCCCCACATACAAATCTTCAAGGTCATTTCATGGTCACATCTTTATTGCTTAGAAAGAGACATTGTCACAATTGTTAGATGTTAGATGGCTTTACCACCTTATGGTCCCACTCTGGACAAAAGCTCCAAATTTATGTAATGTTCTTATTTAGGTCTATCTCTTTCACTTTCTTCCCTGTCTGATCAATTGGTGCATTCCTCAGAGATAGGGGCACTGTCCTTTAGTGACTCGCAAGTTATTCTGAAGACTCAGCTGGGCTTTCTTGCCAAGAATCGAATCCCATGGTGCGACCCTGA